AAGTGTTGGATAATTTCGTTCCGTCTTCCTGCGATATTATATAATTTGCGACGTAGATAGCGCGGAAACAACTGAAGCGTGTTAGGATAGAATTTCTGCGTTATGCCATCGGTTCAAACACCTCGTCATATTCTTCAACAGTATTCTGTTACAAGATGTCCCATTTACATTTCTAATATCAAACATCGTAAGGTTATGACGATGAACGTCCTCTATAGGGTCAGTGTTCTTAACCCTTGTACATTTCAAAATGTTTTTTGCATTTTCAAATATTTTTCAAACCTATGATTATGTTTCATCACTAGCAACTTGTTGCCTTTTACAATAGATAATTCGATGCAGTTTTAATTTCTATATACAACATACACCAGAAGTTACGAATCACTGAAGTTGATTCTGTAATGAACAAATTCGAAAAAAAAGCGATTGAGCGCGATAATGAAAAGAAGAGAAGTAACGCCTTAAATCTTTTTAATGTTATATGTGAACATTAGTGACCCTGTTAAATAAATAAATAAAAGCTCAATTTACCACCTAATGAATACTTACTAATGGTACTAGAAACAGAATTATGACATAAGCCGAGGGGCGAAAGAAATTCGGCGCGAACGAACACCCGTATTAAAGGGTCGTATGTCAAGTCGGGGTCAATGCGAAGTTTTTCCAGAACAAGAGCGATTTATCATAAGACATGACCTCGGACGTGATGCGCGTTGCGAACGCTCCTTACTGATTCCTCTATCTATGCAATCCGGGTTGTATCAGTTTGTTTACTGCCTTTATCTTTTTCTTTAACGTGGGAAAACCCTTTATGGATCCCCTGGATTACTGCCGCGGAATCGGGTGAGTGGCGGGGCTATGTATGGTAATATTGCACTTGTAACTTGCAATGTCGCCTTAGCCGTGTACACGGGAATACGAAGACGCAATCTTCCGCGACCCCGGAGTTTGTCTATTGCCTACAGCGCACTAGGGTCACTTCCACGCAATCTAGGATGCCGAGAATATTTTATTAGTCAATCTGCAACGTTACTTGAATGTGCGTATGCAAAATCGTGTTAGATAATTGTATGTCCGTACTTATACACAGTATATTGAACGGGATGAATAGTAATCTATACTTCTAGAGCTGAAGACTATGTTTGTTTGAACGCGCTAATCACTGGAACTACAGCCGAATTCTTGAGGAAGGTTATAGGGTATGTCACAGGTCTTAGCTTGACCTCCGGCGAGAAACATTTCTTTTCGCATTAAAAAAGCTAGTGTTATATAATAAAGATAAATATTTCCGTGATCCAAAATTAACGTTTGTTTTTCATAAAATAATTTACTAATCAATAGGTGAGTGAAAAATGATCAAGTCCCTAAGGAACTTAAAATAATTTGTTACAATTTCAGAGTTGATTAGTTTAGCAGTGCTCTTTTGAATTTATGTTAAGAATAGGTCGAGGTAAAATATGAAGATATGAGTAAAATTATGCAGTTAACAAATTGATTAACGCGAATAATAAATGGATTATTCACCTTCGAGTCAATTGCAAAAGCTTATGTAATACTTTTGATCATTCATCATTTCGGCCTTTTTAAGAAATAGTTTCACTGCTAAACATAGAATTCCTACAAAGACCATCAGTAGGTCAATTTCGGAGCGTGAAGGTGATTATAGGCTATAACTATCGTACGAAATAGGCTATGCGTGTATTCTTTAAATCGCCTTTTGATAATGCCCCTGAGTTTATCCCCTATCATTATACCGTGATACATACGGTGTCAAGGAAGGTGTGAAATGAAATACAGATAATAACAGAACGTGACTAAAAGCCGTGAGCTTAGAAGCACGGATATTGGCGAAAGTAGATTTATGATTATACAGGGTGGATTTTCTAAAGGTGCCCAAAATCAAACAGAAGATTTAGACTCGGTAGTATTATCGTTTATTGAAATAAAAACAAAAATTATTTTTCAAAAAAAAATAAATTGCCATTCCAATCCCTAAAAAATAGAACTTGTTTACAATGCGATAGTCATTCATAAATGCGTCGTATACTTTTAAAATGAACTTGTGTGCGTGTTAGTTATGAATGATCGCGCCTAAAATAAATGAGTTGCGTATAAATCACGCACTTTTTGAGATGAGTTAAAATGAATGTAATTAATTAATTACGAGTGATTTTAAATATTTATCAATTTTTATGGTACATTATTTATGTCTAGAATTTAATTAAAAAAAAATGGATACTCTTAGAAAAGCCTTCCCGTATAGCAACCACAAACCGCAAGCTACTCGTGTTACAGTATTAATTCTGAAGGATAATGTTATTACGCAATGAAAATGGATGAGCAATTGATGAACGCGTATCATGTTAACATAGTTACTTATTTAAACCTTGTACACAGACTAGTACAATGGTAAACTTAATGCTAAAGGCATTTTCTACCAGTCAACCTTGTGGTGGCGTAGAGAAATATGGGTGTAAAAGGTGAACAGATGAAGAGAATAAATAACGTAGCAATTTTAATCAAAATCAAAAATATATTTATTCAAATAGACGCTTGCGCGCTCTTATGAATCGTCAAATTTTACATCAAAGATTATGTGTATAGGTTCGTAAGGTACCACCGGTTCGGAAAGCAGTTTCTGTTGAGAAGAGACCGGCAAGAAACTCAACAGTTGCTCTTTTTCAAAAATATCAATTTACAATATAATAAACATGTACAATAGTCTTATTCTAGCCTACGTGAGTATCAGCAGTATCAACTCCACACATTGGCGTCGTCGAGATATTCCGAAATGGTATAGTATGCTTTAATCATTAGTTGATTTTTAATTTTACATTTAAATTGGTAAATTGGTTTAATCATACTACGTTTACAGGAATACGTAAAATTTGTACGTTACATGTGGTAGAAGTGCTTTAAAAGAAATTTAAAAAACTCGTTCACTGTCAAGATGCATGCTGTCAATCACATAATAACAGTGTGTGCTCGAAAAGATGCACATACTGAGTTATGAGTTTCAATAACGTAATATGTGTTACATAAAATACAATTATAGCATATATGTTATATTATATCATATATAGTTATGTATAGACATCATTTATGTTGCAAAGTTTTAGCTGCGAAACTGGTTGGATACGCGGTTGACCGTTTCGTCCGTATGTATGTAGTTTCGGCGTATCAAAACTTTTGAGCTCAGACCCGCGTGAAGTTTAAATTTCCATTCTGTATTAAGGATTCTTTATTTAAAAAAATACATTACTTACTTCTTTTTTTATGTCAACCATTGATTTTATCCAGCCAAGATATTTCATTTCGCAATTAGGAACAATGTGTATTTCAACATTATTATGGTATACGTTTTGAATGCGTTAATTCTCATTATTTTTAACACACTTCAAAATGTAGATTCTAAATTCTGTTGTATTTTTTATTTAGGTTTGTTACGTCAGAACTCCGACATTTATGAAGAGATTTTAAATATGATTTTTACACTGCATTCACTTTAGCTCCGATCCTATTTAAATTTTTACTTATTATTATATTATATATTAAAAAAATTAGATTAAAAAAGTACATTTAGTGAAATATTTGAAGTCTGTTTTGTTTTTGTCAATAACAAAGTTAGTAAAGTTTTATTTGTCTCTGTTTACGCCTCGCTGACCGACAACCCTAAATGCAGATGGTCTAATGGAGATATTTCCCTAATAGTCAGATAAACCGTGGACGATACATCAAGGCGGACTACGAAATGCTTTTCGTGGGGTAAGCTCGCAACTTGTCTTGTTTTAGCACGGAATACCATTTGTCTGGTGGTCACCATAATACCTTTTTCTGATAACACTGTTTTAAAAGAATATGTTTATGTAAATTAAATAATTTGTCCTCCTTTACATGAAATAATTACATTGTGAGTTTATGATTATGAGAGTAGATGAGTTACAGTGTGAGTGCTGATTTCATATCTTTTTTATTATTCATTTATCATTATCATTGTTCAAAAATTATAAATAAATTATATTTAATAAGTCTTTCATATTGTTCAATAAATTATTTATTGCTGAGCTTTTTAGCTGCATTTCTTCGCTGAATTATGCTTAACCTTTGAGCGAGAAAAGAACCAGCCCTATTGTCACCAGCCGCAGCGGTAGGCCTACTACGTCCCTGTCATAAATTTCAATGTGCATATGGCATAAAACATAATCAGAACAACAAAAAAAAAAAGAAAAATATAAATAGTCATTGACATCGCGGGTACAATGTGTTCCAATTCGAATACATTTCACAGAACGCGCCCTTACCACTGTCAACGGATAGTATTTTTGTGTACATAATGGTTTATTATACTATATCGAAGGCCTCGCCTCGAGTAATATCGAGCTTTCGGTTTGTATAGTGTGATTTTCCGTCCGTTTTAATGGCGGCGCGCCTAAAGTTCTCTCGTTCATATTTTACCGGGCGAGGTCAAGGGACTTAGTTGCGGAGTTAAGGCGAATAACTCTTGTGAATATTTTTAGGCGACTAACTTCGGCCCGTGACTTTGTCAGGCGGACAGAATAGTTCTTTTTGGGAGCGGCGCCAGTTTCCAAGTTTATATTAAACACACTAATGCCCTCTTTAAAGTAATTTTTGTCGCTCAACGATATAGTTCCATCTTCTGCTTTTATACCCTAAAAACAAAATTAAAGTTGTGTAATTTATAACTAAATATACACAAATAAAAAGAACTATTATGTCGAGGCATTTACTTCGCTTCGATATTTAACAAAGTAGATAAACAAACAGCAGTCGCACAACGTACACCTCCACGCTTAACTGTACAAGACTTCGGATTTCCGCTATGGTCTCAGATTTCCGATCAAACAGCACCACCCGAACACCAATATTATGCAACCAAATATCGTCCTTATCTTGTTCGAAAAACCTCAGACCATTAGAGAAGTGGCAACCTTCAACATTGAATACATTTTCTTTATGGGAATATAAATGCAGGGTTTAGCATGCCAGTCGACGGCCTGGACTTCGTGGGCAATAAAAAGCCAAGTTTGGCGTGCGAGACCGCGTAAGTATACAAATTACGTTCCTGCGCTGAATATTTTCACTTTTTATTCGTTCACATAGTAAAAGGCCAATAAACAAAGCCGGCCCTGCACACATTCCGTTCACACGTGAGTATTCGGGTTGAACTCCGCAGACGTTGAAAAAACTACATCAAAATTAATTTCGTACACCACTAATGCTAACAATGAATTGTGCCTTCACACGACATTCCGTTTTTAAGTCTCATTGTTAATGCTGGTATAAGTGTCTTAGCAAAAGAAGAGAAGAGATGATTTTTCCTAATTCAACGGTGTGTTAAAAGGATGGTTCACTTAATGAGAGAGACAAAGTGTTAATATAAATTGAACCATTAAAATAAAATAAATGGACATACATAACAGTTTTGAGTGTAACACCATCGATATTACTATTTAATAAATTTTAAAGGACTTATATACTTGCGATTGTAGGAAGATCAAATAAGGGCCAATAGGCAACAGCCACGTACGACAAACAGCCATGCGTGATACAATTGCTGAATAAAATGGAATGAATGTTTTTTGTTTGTTCCGTACGTTCCTAAACCATTTGTGAAAGGAGGCCTTTTTTATCATTTCAGCCTACTTAAATCTACTACTGATCATAAGGCTTCCCCAACAGTCTGCCACAAAGTGACGCGGCCTTGAAAATTTAAGCAAATGCGGGCAAGGATATTTCACTTCAAAAATCAATAGGAGTTGCGAATTCACTTTTGTATGTAAGGAGGTGAATACTGTTAAATTAATGGCCTGGCTAGTTTGGTGCCAAGGAAGACCTGCGTTTGTATAGTCACTAGACAAACGCTGGTCTTCCTTGAACGCTAGTATGTGAGGTAGCTGTAGATCCTTTAGATGACTCCGTGGCGTTGCCAAGGTATGTTTATATCGGCGCCGGGGTCGTGTGTTCGATTGCCACACGGGAGAACTGTTTGTGTAACCCAAAAATAATTGTTTCGAATGTGGGTGTTTGTCCACATGAAATCTGTCTGTGTAAAACTTGCTTACAACACAGGATTATGTTTTACTAGTAAGTACATCGTTTGTATTAAAATACTTATCAAAAAAGACTATTCGTAAAGGTTGACAGAGCTGCTTTTTATTTCAGACCAGAAAGCGGTTCACCTAATGCTAAGTCATTACCGCATATGGACTTCTGCAATACCCGTTTTTCACATGCATTACCAATCTTTAATAAAAGTGGGCCCCGGTTACCGCACGCAAGGTGGGTAAACCCAAAAAGATCACTTCCACTCACGCTTTCTGTGACACGCCTTCCCACTTGAGTAGAAGCAGATGCTGCTAAACAGCTCTACCATTACTGCAACAATGGTAGTACAACACAATGCTATTTCTAATGAAAAATAAAATAATTCGAAACCAGTCTCCACCGCTCCGGTTGTGTCCAAAGCTTTAGCAACAAAAAGCATCTCTACAAATATAACAGATAACCAAAAAAAAGTTGACCAACCCTTTCAGAAGGGGTTAACGGAGTACTACAATATCAAGAGTAAAGGCAATCGTGAGAAAGGTAGTCAACGAATCAAAACACTAAATCAACTCCCACAATCAAGAGGAAAGTAGGCTTAACTCAGTTAAATGAGTACGGCTACAATAGTGACTAGTTCATCATTAAATCCGAATAATATTCAACTAGCAACGCAAATGAACCGGGCCCGCGGAAAACAAAGCAACATCGAATCCTTCGTCGGCACTCGGCGTGTTTATTCCTCGAACTAACACCACAAAAGCCATGTTAATTTTCGCGAACCGACCCGTTTCGGTTTATTTAATTTGCCTAATTGACAGTGGAAACATTGCGGTTCAACTTGACTAAGCCGAGTAATTAATGCGCGCTATGAGGGTTTTTTTTTAACGGGACGTGATTTGTTGCGAACGTACCCGTAATGTAATTAGGGACGCGCGTTCGACGCGTGACACGTGGAGGGATAGACAAATGACCACTTTTATAATTATAATGGAACATAATCTTGATAACCGGTGGGGAGGAAAGGTTCGCGAGTGGCGGACTCGTATTCGCCATCGTAGTGTTGGACGCCCCCACACTAGATGGAGTGACCTGTGCAAGTGTGCGGGAAGTCGATGCATAAACGGCTCAGGATCGTGCTTCATGGCGGTCTGTGGGGGCCTGTGTTCAGCAGTGGGCTCAAAAGACTGAAATTATGCCGATGAGACACTTTTATAATTATTAAACCAAACAAGTTCTCGAGTTGACTGGCTTGCTTGTGATATGTATCGTAATCAAATTTCGTAAATATTATAATCGAATATAGTAAATATCGTACTCGAATTTCAGAATATATGACCGTATTGATCGAGTCAAATACGGTTTTTTTAACTTTTAACGGAGGATCAATTGTTTTTCAAGATATTTTCCAACCACTAATCGACCTCTAATCGCCACTGCCAAAAGATAACAGACGACGTACAAACTTTTGTATTCGCTGTGTTTATTCACAAACGACATTAAACGCGTTCGAAGCCCCACTCTGGCTATTAAAATTTAAATCACACTAATGGAGCACCCAATTCTGGTTATTCACCATTCGTGACATGACAACAAACTGCGTGAAATGTACCCGTGATCAAACATTTTGTAGCGACATGATTTAGTTTAAGTCACGATTTGAAATATGTACAAAGTTGGCTTATTTATTACGTGTTGTACAACGGTTTTATTTTTCCCAAATTCTATTTAACAAACAAATTAAAGAATAAGTTTGTTAATGAATAAGTTTGTTTCTAAATGTAGGTGTTTTTAGTAGTCGGAAGTGAAGTAAGATAATGATAGAAACAAGCATTTTTATTAACAAAAAAAAAACGACTTCAAATACCTAATCTCTCACAATATTTTTTAATTTCTATTTGGTTTTGAGCAGTTACCTGATCTATGTATTTCTGAAGCTTAAAATCCGGTTAAAAAACCGCAATGTTATACTTCTGATTTTCATGTGGTGAGGTGAGGAAGCCGAGGCCCAGTTTATAAAATGTGGCAACGCGTGGCGTCTAACAATAAAAAAAGTTTTAATTCAAATTAAATTTCATTCAATTGAATGTTCGTAATATTTGAAACGCGTTTCCCAACTTTATGAAACTGAAATGAAATGAACTGAATTATCAACTTTTTGAGAATATTTGAAACATTCTTTTACTAGGTTTTTTGAAAAGTACAATAAAATCATAATCAAATTGGCAGTTTATTATAGTGGTGGCAGAGTTTTGTTTTAGTGAACTAAGACCGTTTACGACAAATCAGCCTTAACTATTTGCGTGATTAACTACTTACCCGTGCGAATTTTTTGTACAGTTCCATGATTCACGGTTATATTAATAATGTGACAATAAACATTTATTACTGAGAGGTACCTTATTTTGGAATATTTTTTTAAGTCTCACCTTGTACCGACAAAACCACCCTTGAGATATCACGTATAGAAATACGCGGCCGGCTATTTCCCAGATGGTGAGACGCGGACGTTCAAAAATGCAAAGCGCCTTATCGAGACGTCGCAAATGTTTGCACTCCAACGCTGCATTGGTGCAATAAAACGCGCGAAATGCCCCCAACGGGCGCGGAGAGTAAACAGGCTAATGCCGCCACCGAATCGCACTCACGGCCCATTGGCTTCGATAACACAAGCGTGCCCCTCGTTGGTAGCGGCATTTTAAAGCACATTTGTTTAATGTCACTCGATAGCGTGCAGCGTAACATGTTGTTTTGTATGAAGCCGTTTGTTGTTTTCGCCTCGAATTTAATATTGTAACAGAAATTTCAAATGAACTGTATTTGGCAGCATTGCTGGTAAAAAATATTCTATGTTGTTTACTGAATCGACGACGTTTGTTACTAAAAATCTTTCTTTAACGGAAAAATGAATTTTTAATTTTCTTTAAATGAATTTCGAATGCTGCGACATAGAAACCATGTGGCAATTCACATTTAGAGTATAATAATAATTCGATTTGAAGTTCTAACAAGATGTTAATTAATTAAGCATCTACAATTCACATAAAATAGATACATAAATTAATTCTTTCTCGTTTTTATCAAAATTTGACTTCTCCAAGCACAGGTTTAAATATAAAACATTTATTCAGGAGGCACAAAAGATTAAAAATACGACCGGAAGGCACAGGAAATTGGAAAAGAATACTTGAAAATTTCCTCAAATATGAATCCAATTTAATATAAGCCAACAGATTAATCTTAGAGAATGACGAATACGAGCAATAATAATGATATGGCGGAAGGTTTACGGGTTTAAGCCAATGAGCTTTATTATCATTAAAACTAAATCGAGCACAGATTATTGACATATTGCACATGTCGTGTTATTTCATATGTCAAACGACGATGCAACGTTGCATAAAAGATTAAAATTACGCGTTTGCATGGCATTATTACGCCTTACGCGGGAAACGGACAGCTGTGCATTGGGCCCAAAGCTCGCAAAACATCGGTTTATTACCGACATGGTGATTGAAGGATATTCTTAGCTCCACTCGGGTAATAAATACTAAGCCTTTGTATAATAATAGGTGTTTGTGAAGAGAAAGTTAATGCTAAGCTTGGAATACATAATTTTATTGAGCAACAGAATAAAAATAGGGGATAGATGACTTTTTTTAATTTGAAAAATTGGTAAGACTAGGCGCTTCTACTGATAATCAGTGATTACCACGGCCCATAGACATCTTAGCACCTGACGGATGCGTTGCCAACCGTTAGAAAAATGGGCCCTAACTCACATGAAACGCTAAAGCATAATACTTCCACCTCACGCCGGTCTTCTGTGAGGTGGTTCATTATTACCCGGACAAGTCTGCCCCATTCTTGCAACAGCAGAAGCTGCTACTAGGCTTTATCACTGTGAAGGGACTAGGTATGTAAAAACTAAACTGCTGTCAATTCACATCGTTAATAGTCGCTTACTATAGTTTTTGGGACCTCTAAAGAGGCATCCGTTTGCCTCATAATCTAAATGTAAACGGATGATTTTGTACACCCTGTTCGTCCTGACGAGCCGAGCCATTAAAGCCATTCAAGCCATATGAGAAGCTACAGACTGACTCTACGCAAACTTACTTACTACGCAAAACTACTAAACGCAAACCCAAATCAGCGTAAAAACACAACGAGATCTGACCGGCTATAGTAGCAAACAGTTAAAGAACGGATCACGTTGTTCAGGAGGAATCGAGGCCACTGAAGGCGGAACTTTTTACGGAGCGTACTTTTTGTACATTGCCACGAACACCGTGCGACCAATAACCGTGGCAATTGTCGCAACAGTCACGCGGGGCGAAGCCGTTACTCATACGCACCCAGCTCTGACGACCGTCCTCCGTGGCATAAAAACGCAAGATAAGCCCGCCTCGCTTTTATCGTCAGCGACGTCGCGTCTCCATTGTGCCACGTATGATGCTTTTCCCGTTCAGATGTTGAACACATCGTAAAACGTTATGTTCGACCTATAGATGAGATTTAACAGCTCTGGCAGCAACGGATTCTGTATGTGCCTATAGATAAAGCACTTGGGATTGTTGTTTGTTGTTTGCTGTGTTTTCTGAATGATGAGATGTGGATGTATGCAGCCGCGAGTTCGTGAACACCCTCAGCATATGACCTAGCGTACGCCAGAGGAGTATGCACTGGGAATCGTTACAATTCTGATATTATCTTTTAATAGAAGTATGGCTTTATTTTTCGATTTATTATTCTATTTTTCCTCACACATTGCTTAATTTTTAGCTTAATAATTGCAACTTTTAACTTAATAATTTGTATTAGTTATCCGCACTTACCTATAAGTCATAGGGAAGGAAACAAGTTTCTTATGTTACCAAAGCGGTAATGTGTTCAATAAAACAGAAAAAAATACTTGGATTTATTCCAACTGCAGTATCACTGGAGGAAATCTTTACGTCCGATTTTTAATACAGAGCAATAGACTTTAAATCAAACGGTACCAAGCAAAAAAATTCATTCGATCGCCCTGTAGAATCTACGGTTCCATAATAATTTGGAAATTCATTAAAAAACAACAATGTGTGAATCTACGCACTTAAGAAGTTATACTTCTTAAGCGTAAAAAAATTATCCAGTGTGCACAGTAAGTACTCCTTGTTTGTGAAAAGGACATTAAATGGAATTTATATCATATCTTGTAGGAATTATGGTGACATTTAACCAGTTGCTATTGGTTGCCCTGAAGTTGATCTACCAAGTTCATCATGTCGCTTTTTGGCTGACGGTGTGCGCGCGTATTTTAAAAATTCTACTCAATGTTATTTTATTTTATTATTAATGTTACTACTAACATTTTTTTCCATAAGGAGTATAAGTAGTTAAAAAAATATTTGCAACTAGGTAGGTACAATCAATTCATCAAAAGCACCGTTTATGAGGATTGATTTCGTGGCGATTTCTCAGATCCTCGCATCATTTCCGCTGAACTTATTTCGGCGCCCATAAATTTGTAATAACTTAGCTAAGTTGGCTGGAGCGGACTACGTAAAGAAATGGGGTTCGTTAAGATACGCGATTACCATAATTTTCGCATACGCGGTAACTCATAGAGAACAACGTCCGCTTCAAAAATGGAAACACACCCAGCACACACAAGGAACTTGTTTACTAGCAGTAAACGTAATCAATAAACCTAACTTGTGTTACGGTCCGAATTTTTAGTGGCACTTAAGAAATGGCCGAATATGCCCGATATAATATTTGGTAGATAGAGATTAGGTAGGAGTAAATTTTGACGGCAGTTTTACGAGGGTTGAAGAATAAACTTTTCATTAAACGCATAAAATTTCAGTCGCACACTATACCACAACAGCCCGAGATTTGGCGAATTTAATGGGACGACGGGCGCTTTAAATGAATTTGCAACCGACTTTAAAAAAGGAGAATGTACTCAATTCCGTTGCATCTTTTTATGTTTGTTACTCCAGAGCTCTCGTTCTTTATGAACTGATTTTAAAAAATATTTTTGCATTGGGTTCGGTTTATTCCTTGTATTGCCATATTAAATTCATCTCCCTGAACTCCGGTGATACATCAGGCAACTCCTCAAAATCAAATAAAAAATGTATAGTGAGATATTTGAAGTCGATTTTAATAAAAGTGTACTTTTTATAACGATTACAAGTGTGGACTGGAATTTGTATATCTTAACACCGTTCAAGGATTTTTTTATAAAGAAATCAAACTGTTATTGAAATAAATCTGAAATAAGAGAAAACTCCTTTTATATTATTACATCAAGGCAAACGTGCGTCCTCCACGCCAATGTATTTTACGGCTTCGTTTCAAGAAATGTACACTCGACTAACAAAATTACAGTCGTATATAATATAGTGCTTTACCTCTTCGGTTAGAAAGAAAGAAATTTTTCGACTTAACGACACTGTCGTATACAATGTTAACAAATAACCAAGATGGAACACAATAAAAAAAACACGTTGCGAGGATCTAATAGATAGGAATCGTTATTTACTTACAATAACAATTTTTTTGTCCACTTTACTTAGTTTGTCAAACCAAAATAGTTCAAGCTCAAGTCGTAAAAACACCAACGTTAATTTTTGATGTATAAAAATTAAATAAGAAGTAGGCATCTATAATATACTGAATCGAATATGTGATCTTCTAGCCATAAGACTAGAAAAGTTTTTGGGTGTTAGACTAGAGGGACACCGAGAAAGGTTTAGATGGGCTGTGTAAATCTGTCTGTAAAATAACTGAGTATTGTTACGACGGCTGATACACGAAATTGCAAAAGAAGGACACTTTAACTAGTGCGGCACGAAGACAGAGCAAGTATAATTTTTAACAAAAAAAACCGACTTCAATCAGAAAATTAAAAACATTGTTAATACCTATAACGTTCAATGATGGCACTCGATTTCTCTAGGATGCCATCATCAGATCCGGGTTTCCTTATCATGGGGATACCTGCTTTCCGTCAAAAAAAGGATCATCAAAATCGGTTCATGAACGACGAAGTTATCCGCGAACACACATAAAAAAATACATACGGTCGAATTGAGAAACCTGTTTTGAAGTCGGTAAAAAAGGAAGAAGAAGACTTCTTACTTCATATTTATTGTACACGTAAAAGGAAGATCAGAAAACTAACAATGATAGCTTGTGATCTAAAAACGCAGTGAAAGAAGTATTTGATTGCTTAATTCTGACAATAAAAAACTAGTATTAGTATACTGTTGTATAATTCTCTCGTGCGGAGTAAATTGGAATATTGTAGCAATGTATGGAGTCCTCATTACATTACTTATTCCGATCGAATAGAGCGTATCCAGAAACGTTTTTTATACCACCTGTGTTACAATAATCGCACATGTCGATTATTTAAGTCTTACACTGATCGTTTGTCACATTTTGGACTTCTACCCCTTTCGTCACGCAGGAAAGCTGCTGACATAATGTTTGTCTATAAATTAATACATGGCATTATAGAATCCCCAAAGTTATTAGAGCGTTTATATTTTTCGGTCCCGCGTGCAGGTTGTCGTATTCATAATAGGAAAACGTTTATTTTGCCGTATAGTAGGACGAAACTCGGCCAGAACTCTCCTATGTATCGCATGCCTTCACTATGTAATACTATTAGATTTGATATTGACATATTCACTGGTTCTTTGGCCTCTACAAAAAAGAAAGTGTCTAGGTTTTTTTCGGTCCTTTAATATCATTAAACTTTTAAATAGTTTACTCCTTAATTTAATTATTTAAGTATAATGTTTTATTGGGTTTTATATACAAAAAAAATAATAATTTTTACTCATGTAATAGTGGTCAGTAGATAAACCTTTGTACATAATGTTATATTGAGTCTCATTGTGTATGCTGTCTATCTTCTTTTAATTCTATATTCTTTTGCTATCATGCTAGATTGTATTCGGTTAAGCAGACCTAATAAACTAAAAAAAAAAAAGAAAAAAAATTCAAAAATCATCAAAAAAAAGAAGCTGCTTTTGCTCTTTTATAATTGAAGTAACTGAAATAGTAGAAATTAACGCTAAAGTAATAATCAAACAAATTATTTGTAGGAAATTTAAACGAAAAATGGCTTAATTAAGTTAAAGGAATTAACTTATAATGCAAATCCTTCAGCTGTCTCGAGGTAATGTTTACAGCTTCTTTGGTTTTTTCAGACGTGATAACAAATTTTTCTCCGTACATGAAACTAGACTGCTATGCAGCCCCTGGCCGTTCGGATATAACGTTTACTGATTTATTAAACACCATATCCCGCGAGTAATAGATTCCTCATGAACTATTAAAGCACGGACGCAGCTTAGATTAACTCCCCGGCAAGGCGGGCCGAAGAAAAAGTTAATCAACATAAAATATTTATGGGCCTTCGCTGAGCGGTGTAATATATGTCCCCTATATTAATACTTGCCTCTCATAAGCTCGCATGTTAAGATAGCGGGGGTTGTACGCGCACCCCAAGACTCGAACCGAGCACCGAATGCTTATCCTTTTTAAATTAAGTCGCGAACATTACGTAGTATGAACTTGCACCCGATATTGCGCTCGTCGATCAAAAAGGTCGAGGTTTAATTTATCTGCAGATGGACAAATCTTGCGACATTTCGCACGTATATATCGAAACATAATCCAAATTACAATGATAACGATAGAGCAGACAACTCTACTACTAAAATAGATATGTAATATGTAAATGGATTGATACATTCGATAAGGTCGAATAAACATTCGTAAATAATTAATGGAATTCCGATACTTGAAAACATAATGATCCAATTTGTAGAATAGAATGCCCACAAACGACAACATCGTGAACTTAGAGTAACTATCCGCTTATCGTCAGAAATGCAGCACTTAAGTAGATTGTCACGAAATTTAACTTTTAAAATGTTGAAGAATGCGTTAAGATTTTCGTCGGTGTGGTAATCAGCCGTTTAGCTCAGTGGCTAGAGCGTCAGGCCGCGAATGCCGAAGACGTGGGTTCGATTCCCACAGCGGCGACAATCTTTTCGCACTTTTTCTACATATTTTAATGTTCAATCTTAAGTGCAAAGATTAGCACTATAAACAATTTAAATTTCTAAAAAAGCAATGGCGACATCTCTCGTTCGAATTATCGTTGTAAAACGATATTCGAAGTTGTTTGTATGCTGGAAAGGATATAACAATAGATGGCGCCAAGCATTGCTTCAAATGCTAAGAAAACAATGTGGAAGAATGCGTTAAGATTTTTCGTCGGTGTGGTAATCAGCCGTTTAGCTCAGTGGCTAGAGCGTCAGGCCGCGAATGCCGAAGACGTGGGTTCGATTCCCACAGCGGAGACAATCTTTTCGCACTTTTTCTACATATTTTAATTTTCAATCTTAAGTGCAAAGATTAGCACTATAAACAATTTAAATTTCTAAAAAAGCAATGGCGACATCTCTCGTTCGAA